TTACGTATAACAAGTCTCTTCGAATTTTCATATTTCGTATAAATACCTGAAAAATAGAATAAAAATAGAATAAAAATAGTGAAAGAGAAACTTTGTTTATTTTTCCTCTCTAGGTAAACTAACTCGCATCATGATGCAGTATGCAAACAGCTCTAGTAGCTGTCAAATGTTTTTACCATATTGTGAGGTCAGTCACATTTGTGTGAAAAGAGAGGCCAAACCCATATAACACTAGCCTAATATCTATGAGTGTAAGCAAATTTTTCAAATTTTACCGGTCTTGACCATCGAGTCCTTACTTATGTATCTATTTAAAATATTCAGGAAAAAAGTCGTTTTTTACAATCAACAGTAGACAAAAAAATTCTCAAAGTATTAAAAAAAAATTTTTAGAGCTCATTGAAATTAATTTTTTAATAAGCACGTTTTTTACGATGGTTTTCGCCCGGCTTGAGCCTTCAATCAAAAAAATCGTATTGTATCATCTAACTTTTTCATTCGGCACTTACGGAAAAAAAGTCAAAAAACTTTTTTAATATTAATATGTTGAACCAAGAGAATTAAATTTCTAATAAAATCTCTCAATATCCAAATTAATATTTTTGCTTTGGAATTCACTTTGGTTGTTCGTGCATTGCATGCAGAAACGTGGTATTTTAAATAATTCAGCCACTTGTTCTTTCATAGCACTGTTTAATTCGTGAAGAAACAGATTTTAACTGTAAGTAAACTTTTCACCTCCCTATAGTGCAAACAATAAATTTGAATTTACATTTTGGTACAAATAGCATTTACATGACAATGTAACTGATGCAAACACGTAAAACTTTTGCGTATGATTAACAAATTTTGCTGACTGTAATCATTCGAACAATTAGTCTTAAAATAACCAAATAAGTTCCAAATTACTTAATAACCGTGCCACTTGTCCGATTTCGAATAATTATTCACTGAACTCCATTTAAACGGCGGAGAATTCAGGAAACAATTCATACAAAAATATCTTACACTTGTGAATCAGACTTATAAATCAAAAATAAGAAATCAAGCAGTAATAAAATCACTTCAACCATATTGACATGGTTTATTTTTTTTTTATTTTCAAAACGTAAATTTCATTTGTACCTAAGATGACGTTGAACAGAAATATTAGTAAATAACATTTTAAGAGCTTATTTGTAATAACAGTATAATTTATCTACATATATATTACACAGGATAACGGGCCAAAGTATAAGGAAATGCTTGTTGTAAGTCGAAACTTTTAATATGAGCATTTTTGAGGAAAGGGCACATTTCTAAATATTGCTAAAAAATAAAATATGTAAGTAACGAAAAAACACTTTAAAAAGTTTTTTTGTGCTTTTACATTAAACATCAATAAATTAACTTATAGCTTACATTCAAATTTCTCTATCACTTCTTACACCAATTAATGTTATCAGTTAATTTATCTTTGTAAAACGATTAGTCTAATAGTTGTAAGGAAATAACATCGTGTTCTAGTTAAGAATGCTTAAGAATTAGGACTTTAAGTAATTAATACCTCGAAAAGTACTAACTTTGGGGAAAAGTTGTAGAAGATCTTTTTTTGTTTAAAAACGTCCAAAAAATAGGGAAAAAAACTTTTTTCTGGAGCATAACAAATAATTTTCAAAATTTGTTTAGACAATAGTACTGACTATTAGACCTGGCAACATACAAATTTATTTTTATGAGATCATTTTACATAAAATAATCGTATATAGTATCCATGATGAGCAAAAGGGAAAATTTTCAAAAGTGCAACAATGTAATGGCGAAGTGTCAAGGCTAGAAAATTCTAGTAAAATTGAGGTATTAATGTTACAAAAATTTCAAAACGAAAGTTATGCGCAATAAAAACAAACCATTTAGATAATTTCCCTTACACAATAACCTAATCAGAGTGGAAAGAGAAATCCTTAAGAAACTGTAAAAGCAATAAAGAAGGAAAAGTACAAGACTAAATATGAGAGTGGAGGTAAGAACTGAGAAAATAAATGAGACAGAGAAAAGGCAACAGAGTAGAAATAAAGGAATTGAAAAGATGGAGTGATCAGAGCTTATTACATTCAGCAGTATAGACGAAAAAACTCGCTTTATTTAAGGAAGTCAAGAAAAAAAGTAAAGTTAGACTTCACTCAGTCTCACCAAGCTTAATGGCTAGTGTAAATGAGGAAAGAAAAATAGGTGTCCTAAAATTGAAAACTGAGTAGTCAAGTGCACAAGTATAAAAATAATGTATATCATAAGAACTATAAAATTTTGAAAATTAACAAAATAAGAAACAGTGAGCTAGAGGTTGTAAAAAAAAATAAAATTGTTTAGTTTGACAAAAATTTTAAATGTGGATGAATTTCATACTTAAGAGCCATTGCTAGCACATAATCTTGTGTTTGTAAGAAAAAAATGTTACTAATATAAATTAATTATTGATGTAATTTAATTATCAAGAATACAAAATAGTTATTGTTGGTATTCGTTTCTTTAAAAAACCTGAAAAAAAAAAAAATGTTACCTATACATATATTTCTTGGTTTTTCTTAAGATTAGATTAATTTTATTCATGGGCTGAAGTAAATGACGACGCGTTTTTCGAAACTACATAAATATTGTATAAGAGAACTCGCAGCTGTTTAAATCTTTTTTTAGCCACACACTCGCTCAAAGTGACTTGACAGTATCAATGTTGCAATCTAATGTATCACTTGGATTCTTCATCGAAATGTATAAATCGATATAAATCGTGTTAAAGAACAGTGATCCATTTACGATTCGATAGTTCTGACCATGGAGATCCTTTTGAGAACACTATTTCTCACCTTTTTTACATCAATTTATGGTAATGTGGACATTACATAATATTTAATACAGTACTTTCATTTAATTGAAAGGTTAGTTTATTGTGGTTAAGTGGTATTATCGTTTCCTTTTTTTCTGGGATGGTTAACAGTTGTGTGAAATGTGTTTTACAAATTCTGGGTGAAATTTTATTATGTTATAAAAGATAAGGTTTTATAAATGCAAGTATTGTGAAAATGTATGTACTGTATGTATGTATGTATGTATGTATGTATGTAAGTAGGATATTGCAAGATAAGTTTTAAATAAGATATTCTATAAATTAGGAAAGAATATCATGCAAAGATTGTATTTACGTCAAAGGGTATGTTAATTTTGAAAACAGTATAAATCATCGATGTCAGTTTTTACATGACTAAGCTATTACTGAAAGCAATATCAAAAACTTATAACCATAAAATCAAATACTGAAAAATTATAAAATGAAAAAAAATAATAATAAAAATTTTAATTTTTTTAACCAAATACATTTTTTTCATTGAAATGGAACGATCTCTAACAACTTTTACCTACAAAAAAAAAACTTACGCAAAATCTCAAGAACAAGCTAAAAAAAATTTAATAAAAATATCAATTTTCAAACCACTATCAGATTGTTATAAAACCATTTACTTCTACTTTTTTGAATAAATATTTAATATTTTTGTTTAAATTTTATGGCTGTGTCAGCAGAATACTGTATTTTTTTATCACAAATATCCAAATAGAAAATTGAAAGAATAAAAATTGATAAATCATGGGGCAATGGAACCGGTATCCAAGCCAATTTAATTTCTGCAACAAAGTTAAATTTTGTTTGGATTTTAAGTATCTTAACATTGATGCAAGTTATCGCAAAAACTGAGGTCATTGTTTTTGGAAAAATCTATTCACTGAATGGAAATGCAGAACTAAGTAATATTCATGTAAGAAATTGTGGGTAAAAATTTTCATGCATTTTTGGATTATTTAAAATTAAAAATAGGAGTTCGTATAATTTATAAGATACAACTATAAAAAAACTTTTTACCATGAAAATTCCAAAACAATCGTTTTTTGAAAATCAAAAAATCGTTCAAAGAAAATAAAGTACAACACTGAATTTTTATATTTGAGTTTACAAAGATATGGAAACAATAGGTCAATGAATGATTTTGAATCGTTTTGAAGAGTCTTACAGTTTTTGGTTTTCCTTTTTCAATAAAAAATTATGATTTTCTTACGAATTCTAATATAAAAAATGTCTATAATAATTCACGAAAATTGACACCAGACGTTTGTTATTTTTAAAATTAGCTTCAGAGGAAAATTGAAGTAATTGTACTAATTTTTTTTTTTTAATTAATTTTTTCTTTTTACCCATTTTTTATTTTCAAGGTAACTTTCGTAAATATTAACATGTTGAATTTAAATTCAAACATAATATTATTTTATAGGAATTAAACGAGTTTAAAACTTGGTTCAATTGTTCAATAATTTTCTAAGATATTTAAACCTGTTTTCATACTGTAAGCTTGTGTATGTGATTGGTCACATTCCGAATGAATACTTTGAAATTTAATAATCCAAAACTTCAAAATTTCGTTGTTTTTTTAATTTCATATACAGTAGAGTAAATGTTTACAATTTGTATTTGTACCTTAAAAAGGTTAATCCATTTGTTTTTCGATGGAAAAAAAAAAATTTCAGTATTTTTTTTACAGATGAACAATCTAATGCTTTACACCAGTACATGGTAAAGAACTCTCATGAAGTACGGTTTAATTTAGAATGTTATACAGAAACTATTTTATGCTCAAACCTGCGAAAGTTGCTCAAAAAAGATTTGCTTATTTAAAAAAAAATTGACTTTTAACTGTTGTATACGAAAGTTTTAAACTGAAGAAAAATACATGTGTATGGCGTGGTAGACTTTGCTCTACAAAATCATTCTGAGATTTTGAACGGAAAAAATCGATTTGATTTGCTCAAAAAATTGTTTAACAGCATCTAACTTCCTTTATTCAGGTTTTCAAGCAACACATTAGGTACAAAAGGTGCATGTCCAAAAAAATAAACCTTTTCTTTGTTCACCATTTTCCTCGATAATACTATCCTAATGTTTTAAACAATAAAAGTCTTAGTTTGCATCTTGAAACATGTTACTCTTACTGCTCTATGTGTTGGTACCAAAAGGATCTAATCAAACAGACAATGCAACAGACTTTGCGGAAAATCAACTGAAACTTGGTGCTCGCATAGTAGGCGGCAAAATTGCTGCAATCGGAGCTTTTCCATACCAAGTTTCCATATGCCACAACGAAAAGCATATCTGTGGTGGCGCTATAATACACAAAAGCTGGATCTTGACTGCTGCTCATTGTTGCTACGGATCGTATGCACCACAGATAACTTATCCTCAAATTTATTTGACTTCTGGATCTCATTATCAGGAAAAAAAATTTTTTATTTTAGCACCAGTGATCTGGTCATTCATGCTGGAACTAACAAATTGAACGAAACTGGAACAGCGTATCAGTCACAAAAAATTTTTACGCATCCAAAGTTTTCAGTATTGCTTCGGAGGAATGATATTTGTCTCATAAAAGTGAAGGAAACAATTACATTCAATGACCTCGTGCAACCGGTTAGGTTACCACCTTATGACATCAACGAAAATGGCCTTCCAGCCGTTGTTTCTGGTTGGGGTGCGACATCAGTAAGTTTAAATAGTATTAACAATACTTTACCAATATTGTTCTTATGTATTTTGAATTTTAATTCCAAAATTTCCTAGTTTTTAATGAAAAAAGTAAAAAAGTTGCCAGAAAAAAATCATCAAACATTTAACAAAACATTGTTTCTTGATTTAAAATTATTTTTTCTGTATTTTTTGGCACATTTAAAAAATAAAAAAAAAGCCTTAAAAAATATTGATAAATGCCGGTACTTCTTGTAAAATAAAATGTGACAAACATAATTATTTCCACAATACGTTTAGCATTTTTTCGACAAGACTCTACTTACAGATTCATCTATTTATTTAAAAATCATAATGTGTTGCTCGCAATAATCCATCTCAGGGTCACTTGTACAAAGTTAATTTGATGGTCATTGTAAGGCTTGAAAATAAACGTAACAAGATATCATAGTAACTTTTTATTGATAACTTTTAATTACTGCAATTTTTTCAACTAGTATCTTGCTGACTATTCGAACGATCTGCAATACCTGGACACCTTTCTGCTAAGCCGCTCCTCTTGCATGTGGAAAACAATGATTCCTGTAATTTCGACAAAAAAAATTTGTGCGTTCTCTCGCAAAAATGAAGGCTCTTGTTCCGTAAGTGGGCATGTAATTACATTGATATTAGTTAATAACCTTATGCTTGTGCACTTAAAAAAAAAAAAAAATCAAATCACAGGGAGATTCTGGCGGTCCTCTAGTCGCCAATGCTGCCATCGTAGGCGTGGTGTCTTATGGCTTCAATGGATGTGCTTCTGGCAAGCCGGATATTTTTACTCGAGTCTACAAATACGTGGATTGGATAGATAAGCTCATCGAGAATAATTAATGTCATTTTAGGTAAATCAGCAGAAGGCTATGATTAAGGAAATATTTTTTGTGAAGTATCATTGCCACAGATGTATTAATATAAGTTTTGTACATTTAAAAAAAACATAAAAATCATGCATTGAGTATCATGCTAAGAAAAGCTGTGGCATTCGGGCTCATTTGTAGGAAGAGTGGTGCTAAAAAAACGAAGTTCTACAATGACTTTAATCCGCCTTGCCAAAACTTGAATTTGTAACCCAATTTAAAAATGATTGTACGAGTTTCCATAAGTGAAGTAATTTATTGTCATTCAGAAAAGTATCTATGATTAAAATATTTAAAATACACAATAAACAAAAATATTAAAGAATAAGAACCTTTCAGATTCCAATTTTTTATGTAAACCATCTGAATGTACATCAATGATTGAGGATCGTTGAGTGTTAGCTCAAAGCACAGGGATTACTGTAAAACTTTAGAAATCTGTTTTACAGTGTCTTGAATTTTTTCAGTATTTTCCTTGAGTAATTTTTTAAATTAATAAATATTAATGTCAAGCTTCTTAATGTACGTTTTCATTGTAGTTAACCTTGATTTTTGGTGTTTGGAGACGAAAAATTTTATGTAAATGTAGAGACATAAAAAAAATTATTCAGTGATAGGCTATTTTTTCTAGAAACAATAAGAAAAATTTCACAAATAGAACGTTTGATTAGCAAAAAAAATTAATGTAAAACACAAAAAAAAAAATATTAAGATTATACGATACGTCAATATGTGTGTCAATATGTTGAGTTTGCAATACATGTAACTTTGACAAGACTGAGAAAATTTGTAAAAATCCAATTATTTTTTTTTTCTTCGAAAAACGATAAGAATTGATTTCAATAATAAAAATAACTTGTATCGTCACTAACAAGAATGTTATTTGTTCATAACAACAGTCTATCTGTAGAGATATATACGAATGCTATTAAAAAATTTCATGAAAATTATAAAAATTACGCACATTTATTGAAATTGCAGACATGCAGTTAAAATGTAATTATTTTTCGACTTAATTAAAAAAAAAAAAAAAAATGCACTACCTCTATTAGATAACATTGTTAAACCTAACAAACTAAACTATTCAATCGATAAAATTAAATGGTTAGTAGAAAATGTTTTTGAGGTGAGAATTCAGGTAAGATCATTGATGATAAAAAACTTTGAGAAAAAATAGTAGTTTATAGGAAAAAAAGTGGTGAGGTTGTAATAACTTCCAGTTGCATAGCTTTATTTGTTTAAGTTTTAATTTTTTAAATAAACAATCTTAATATTTCGTAAAGTTCATTTAATACTATTCAATATTATTTAATATTATTTAATACTGAAAAAAACAAATTTGGTTGGTTGAGCAGGACTATTTAATTAAACACTATTTAATTAAATAGTTCTGCTCAACGAACCAAATTTGTTTTTATTCAGCATTGAATTTTAGACAATTGAGCAAGTTTAGGATGATTGGAGATGCTGTTATGCATTGTAAAATTATTTCTTAGATCAAAAGTTATTAACAATCAAAGTTGAGTTTGCAAGAAAAAAAATTTTTTTTTTGCTATATGTTCAAACAATTGCGTATTAAACAAATTTTTCGAACTGTAAACCGGTGTATAAAAAAATGTATAAAAAAATAACCGGTGGATTCGAATTCCACGCCTAAAAATGACATAGAAAACGCCTTATTATGTGCTCTGGCATCTCGTTGCACACGAGATCCTACCTTACACGAGAACTAATGCTTTGATGTTTTATGGTCGTTGAAAAATAATAAGCGACTCATGTTACTCTTTCTCACACAGTGTCATCCTCTTTTCTCTTTAATTTACTTACCACATGTGAGTGTGTGCTATATTTCATCCTTTGAAATCCTTTCCAAAAGAGAGACAGAGAGAGAGAGAGATGAGTCTTTCATGCGGTGTCTGGCTTAGCGCAAAGTGCAGTTTTTTTCATTCATTTTATCAACACACGTGTGCAGCTTAATAATTTTTGCCACGCGTGGAGCTCCATCACGTTCACTTTGGGCTTTTTTTTCTGAGCGTCTCCTGGTCACGTGCTAACGAACTTTAAAGTATTCAGCCCTTGCATGTGACATTATAACGAAAGTCCCGTAAAAAGGGCATGTGGTATTTAGAACTTTTCTTTCGAATAAGCCCCAAGGAAAATTCAAATGCTGTGACTCACGTATTTGACAATAATAAAACATTTAAATAGTATTTCCAAGTTAATTCATCAAAGGCTTTTTTTTAGGAAAATTTAATTTGATATAAAAAAAAAAAGAAGAAAATAGCGTTGTTTCTCGGATGTTGATACAATTTTTATCAATTACGAGCCAAAAATAAGTAAACCGCTTGAGTAATTTCTGCGCGTAGTTATATACATATTATCTTACACCGCACGTTTTCTATTAAAATGTATGCGGGAGGGATGAAGTTTTGTACACGTATTGTCGAACCTGTGACTCCATTAGCTTTGAGGGATAAAAGGCAGATTACGGGGATTTCGCGAAAAACGAGATATTTCAGCAAAAAATAAATACAACACATGAGCCTTTTTTTTGTACAACACATATACGTATAAAAATTGTGAATTAAGTATTGTTTTGAATCTAAAATTAATCTTAATCGAGTTTAAACTGAAGCACTATATTAAAATAGTTAATACCTTCACTAGTTCTCAACCTATTCAATTTAATTTTTCTAATTTATTGTTATTGAAATAATAATAACTGAAATATCCGAAATTGCGAAAAATTGAGAGCACCTTCTTCGTTGTGCAGACATGCAGCATGAGAAATTATTTTTTAAATATTGGTATATTTTAGGTACAGTACGTAAAAATTTGATTTCTTCCATCACATACTAATTTTCCGAAAGAGTGATGAAAATATTTCAGTTAATATTTAGTGAAACGTTTTTTTATGCTTAGTATAGGCCATATTTTTAATTCCTGTGGGTGACAGTGATTTTATATTTCATTTTTATTTGTTACAAAAACCACTTACTGATTACTGATTACTGATTACTGATTACTGATACCCGCAAAAAAAAGTTTAAAGGGTTAAAACTTAGGAGTGCATAATTGCATATTCTTGGCAAATTTACCATATGGTGAGGTCGTCTATTAGGTAACAATTTTTTTTTTTTTTTTTTTTTAACAAGTAATGACTTTTAAAAATCATAAAAGCAATCATGTATTTTAATTATCATAAAAAAAAAAAAATATTATTCACTTGTAATTCAAGAAATTAAATATTAAAACGGCCATAAGCTCATACTCGGACGTTTTAGATATTTTTTACACACACATCAGCGTGAATCAATCAATATTTTTACAATGAAACTAACGAAAATTAGCAAAAATGAGAAACTCGGTGTACGTGCAAAATCGAAGAGTGAAACAAGATAGAAAAAGGTAGATTGAAATCGACCCGCACAAAAGAAAAGGTCACGGCGGGAGTCCGTTCCAGAGGCTGGGCGGGTTCTCCTATTACTTAAATCCAAATTGAAAAGTTGCGAGAGCATTCACGCCCCGCGTCTTACTTTTCTCGACGAAACGCCCAGCATGTCCGATCTATTTTACCACATGGCGACTGGCAACTACAGCCGCCTATACTGTGCCTCGTATTTCTGTAATATGCTGTTTATACCCAGTGTGGGCTGAATCACCAAATTCGAGACTATTCTGGAACTGTGGAGATTTAACGTGTTGGTTCAAAGTGATAAAAAATACTTATTTCTAAGACTCGGTGCGAACTTTAATAAAAAAAAAAAACAAACGTGAGTGATCTCTATCATCCGCGGCACTAATTTATTTCCCTCGATAAAGTTACGGTTGTACGTTTGTAATGCTACGAGCTGATGTGACGTATCACTAAATTTATTAATTCTTCGTTTATCATTATTAAAATTAAACTAATTTGCCTCACTGGTTTTTTACTACGAGTTTTTATATACCACTGTTTTTACTGAATAGGTACGAATGAAAAAAAAACATTTGCGTAACGAAAAAAACCTTTTTTTCAGTTGCATTTCAAGGACACGCCATTCTTTCAACAAACGAACAGGAAACTTATGTCCGGGTATATGCGATTGTTCTACCACGATGAAAAAGTACAAGCTAAAAGGTAACTTGAAAAATAATCTGCCAGCCCAACGACTTGGAGGGTGTAATAAGTCTCCCACCGCGTGTATACTTACAACTTTCGATCACCGAGCACTGTATAGTACATATACCACACGAGCCAGGGAACGAAGCCTCCCCGCGGGCTGAGAAACTCACGAGCGCATCTGCCGGCTCGTTGAATTTTCAATCTCGTTAATTATTATCTCGCGCGATGCTTCCACTCTCGAGGCTCGATTAAAGTTGCGTCAACTACACGTTTGACAACACGTATAGTGAAGAACGGCAAAGTTCAATCTTGCTGTATATCGAAGAGAAGGGATGGGGCGCAAAAAAGGTCCACCCCTCCAATCCCTTCCAATCGAATATATATATATATATATACTGAAGGGGAAGATTTTCCCTCTCGGCCACTTGTGCGGGATTTTTCATTTCCTCTCGAGATGCCAGTGGTCTACTTGAAAACCCTCTCGAGGCCATGATTTAATTTGCATTTCTAGTGACTCGAGCCATCGCGTGGTTGCGCCACTCGCAAAAACGCACACAAAACACAGCGAGTTCCACCTAATAATGGCAAATGAGTCACGTATAGCCAGCGCAAAGAGAGCAAAACGAGGGTGCACCAAAGACCGATGCCCCCTGGATATACCACCCCTGTACACGCACCAAGAGTCTCCAAACCGCGAAAACGAAGAAGGAAAAGCTCCTCCGCGCTCGCGGAAAACAAGGGAGTCGCCGAAACGCGGGGGCCTTCCCCATCAATTCTACTTTACGACTGCACATCGCCGCGAGCCCCATCTCTTTTCTTTTTTTCCTCAAAGCAGTACCCATAAATTTTATACACACACGCACACAAAT